GATGTAAAATGAATCATATCAATCTATTCTGGTTTAACTATAACAATCTTTAAGTTTATACAATTAAAACCGAACAACGCTTGTACAATTCTAAAATTTCAAAAATGACGTAGGTTAGGAATTTACAACACAGACTTCATAGATATGCTTCTAACAAAAATAGTAATGTGCGATATGAACTGGTACATTTCTAAAATTTCACAGGTGACGAACGTTGAGTTATTACAACAAAGACTGCGTAGAAATATTCCCAATGAATAGCACTGACCGATTTGAGCTGGTATAATACTCAAATTTCAAATTTGACGAAGGTAAAGTAATTACAACAGAGGCTGCGTATTTACACATCCCAAATAAATAGCAGTTTGATAATTTTTAAAATTTTTAATTTTGTCAAAGGTTAAGTAATTCATCGTGGCTGCGTATTTATACATCCCAAATGAATAGCACCCTGTGATTTAAACTGTATAATTCAAGAATTTCAGAGTTGAAAAGGGTAAAGGAATAGCAACAGAGACTGCGTAGTAATATGTAATATAACCCAAATGAAAAGCACTGCACGAATTAGAACTACACCTTTTCATTGATCCCATTTGATGCCAAAGTTTTTAATTTTCTTATCCAAAATCTTTCCCGAGTGAGTCTATCCTCCCTAGACCAAGCAGTGTTGTGGTCTTTGATTGTAATGGTCAGTCGATTGAGATCTACCTTAGTGTGGCCAGGGGATCTCAAATGTAGACTGAGAGGAAGGTCTGGCTTGCATTCATAGTCGCTACGATGGCCGTTCATACGTTTGTGAAATGGCTGTTCTGACTCGCTAACATAAGGTTTACCACATTTACACTGTAGAAGATACACAGCATTTGTAGTCTTGTAATTAACATTGCAAAATATGGTGTATTCCGTATCAGTGGAGTGACTGTTAAAAGTCTTGGTATTCAGTATTTGCTTGCAAGTCAGACATCGTTTGTTGCCTGCAATTCAGCTTCATACTCGGCTAGTACTACAGTATCATCAGCATAAAGTCAAAAGTACAATCTGAGATCAAACTCAAAATCATCTGTATCTAGCATTTAATGTATAGCACCAGAAATACTTGATAACCCATTCATTGTATGCTTTGATTATAAATTCGTACAAATTATTTAAAAACAATGAAAACAACACCTTGCCTTACCCCGAAATTACTAAAAAAAAAAAAAGTCTGAGGTTGCTGTTCCTAGCCTTACACGGGACTTGGCACTTTTATACATACCAAAAATAATGTTGAACATTTTTCCATCTAAATTATGTTGAAGTAGTTTGTGCCATAATGAAATCCTATGAACATAGTGAAATGACTTACGATAATCACTGTGAATAAATGCACAATAAAGGTTTTTGTTTCTCCCAATGGATAATTAAATTAAATATTTCAGATTAAAAATAAGGTCAATAATACTATAATTTTTCCTCAAACCTGCCTGTTCTTCAAATAAAAGATTCATGTTATCCAGATACAAATTTACTCTGCCATGACAGACAGCTTATGGTATTTTTCTGTTTTCACAATGGAGTGTAAATAAGGGGATTCAATAGAAGAACACATGTGACTGTTTTTTCCCTATTCAAGGGATTTTTTAACAATTATACATAAAAAAAATGACATTATATAAAATGTGTCATGCAATAATGCTATGCAATTCAGGTCTTAGGTTAATTTATAAAAGAAATTCAAGATCTGTCTCAAAAAACAATTTTGTAGTTATTCCGCCAAACACGAATATAATGGAAAAATCTTTTGCATACAGTTCTGCAATTCTATGGAATAGCTTATCAACGAAAATAAAAAACAACAACATCTTTATGTTTATTTAAATCTAAATGCTTCAAATATCCCTGTCAAGCCACACAGAGATAGATTATTAATTAACATGAACACTATGAATGATATTAATATTATGTATTAAATGTAATCTTCTCATATCCGAGGGGCATTACATCTGATTTACATTGCATTAATAAATAAATATTTGATCTTTTCTCTGTTCTAAAAAGAGCAATAAGTTTTGAATTTTCCAGATGCAGTAACACTTTCAGAAGATGTTTTGTAGTTATGGATTTTGAACGAAATCTTAATTGCGTCTATTTTTCTGTCATCAATTGAAACCTTATCGATGCTCTTGTTTGGCAATATGAATCCCTGTCCTGTCTTGTCTTTTTCTGGTTTTAATTGCAAAAATCTGAACTTTTTGCTGATAAATAATAATGTAAGTATATATACTACTTGTTTGTTTTTATTGTTTATTTGTATGTACTATATCATTTTGTACTTAGTTTATGAGGGAAAACTTATTGGGTTACCCTCTTTAAACAAAGAATATTATTATTATTACATGTATTATTATTATAATTATAGGTTAGGATTACCGGGTTTTAATTAGAATTTAAATATTTCAACAATTTATCAAAATATAGGAAAGTAAAATGTAAAATTCAATATCTTGCAATATTCTGCTTAAATAGGAATTTTGATATCTCTTACAATATGCATTGGTCTATTCTTTGAAATTTTTTTCGTGAAAAAACAATATTCAACTTTAGGAGAATTTTTGACTCAAACTTCCTCCAAAATTCACTGTGGCCTACAAGGCCTTCTATAATACCCTGTACCGAAGAATCATTCAACACAAATATTTCCAGACATGGTTAATTTTTGTCTTTGAAGGTAATTTTAGCAAATATAAGTTTAAATGGCCAATAAACCTGTTAAAAATCAGAAATTATTGTGTTCAAACTATACACATTTTCACCAACATCTAAGTGATTTTTAGGCCATAATGCAAATGAGGATGTTGCTAAAAGTAGACATGCTGCAACAAAGTCTAAGATGTATTTTTCGTTTTCCTTTATATCTGAGACAGAATGATCCATTTTTACAACAAAAAAATATACCAAGATATTTATAATCTTTAAAGGGACGAGATATATAAAAAAAATATGATTTTCTTTTGTTCAATCATTAATGAAAGTGAAATATTGAAATAATAATTCTCTTTTAGCAGCCAGTTTAGTTCAATTTTGTCAAAATAAGCTAAGAAACATCGCTGATGAATTATTCACTTGCAAGTGAAATAATTCGACCTCATTGAATCCGTATTCATGTGACCTTCAATTTAAACCCTTAGCTAGAGATTGGTTACGCATGTATTAGGCGTGTTCAGCCATTAAATGGAAAAGAATGTCAACATTGAAAGTGAAACAAAGGTACACAATTTCGTTGACTGATTCGATCCACAAAAAATCATTCTTATACAGGTAAAAACGATGATTAACTTATTTTTTTAACCTATAACATGAAATCAAACCGACCTAGAAAAATCTAATTGCACGCCATCTATTTATATCTATGCTTATGATTATATCGGGTTATGTGACCGTCGGCAGTCTTCGGAGCATCTCGATGGTTAATTAGATGGCGTCTAGACTACAGTACACACGAAATTCTTATATATATTATCGAGTTTATGCATTGTTTATTGTTTTTTTTCAGACTTATTGTAATTTGGATATACGTTTCAGTATGGTTTCAATCAAATATGAGAATTTGAAATTGGTTACGCATGTATTAGGCGTGTTCAGCCATTAAAGGGAAAAGAATGTCAACATTGAAAGTGAAACAAAGGTACACAATTTCGTTGACTGATTCGATCCACAAAAAATCATTCTTATACAGGTAAAAACGATGATTAACCTATTTTTTAACCTATAACATGAAATCAAACCGACCTAGAAAAATTTAATTGCACGCCATCTATTTATAGTTATGCTTATTTTTATATCGGGTTATGTGACCGTCGGCAGTCTTCGGAGCATCTCGATGGTTAATTAGATGGCGTCTAGACTACAGTACACACTAAATTCTAATATATATTATCGAGTTTATGCATTGTTAATTGTTTTTTTTTCAGACTTATTGTAATTTGGATATACGTTTCAGTATGGTTTCAATCAAATATGAGAATTTGAGTCAAATCGGTGAACATGAATTTGACAGCTAATGCCCCTTTAATTATGTCTAGTTCTCCATTAATCAAATAAAATTAAGTATTTTAAAACATATTTTCTTTGAGTTTCTAAATCAACCCTCCTTTTAAAATGTGGTTACATTTTGTATGGCAGGAAATACAGCAGATGGACGTATGTGACGTCACAATGCCCTACCATGACATCATGTCATATATGATGTCACGCCCAGATGATAAGAATACAAGTATTCGAGAAATGAGTGGTAAAGAAAGACTTTCGTATCTTAAAAAATGACAACGTTTGTATTTAATGGAAAACTCCTAAAAATTTTAGACGTTTAAAAGGTTTAATAAGGTGTAAATACCACAGAAGAGGGACGAAAGATACCAGAGGGACAGTCAAACTCATAGATCGAAAACAAACTGACAACGCCACGGCCAAAAATAAAAAGACAAACAGACAAACAATAGTACAGATGACACAACATAGAAAACCAAAGACAAAGCAACACGAACCCCACCTAAAACTGGGGTGATCTCAGGTGCTCCGGAAGGGTAAGCAGATCCTGCTCCACATGTGGCACCCGTCGTGTTGCTCATGTTATTACAAAGCCAGTAAATAGTCTAATTCGGTAGGTCACATTCGTGAAAAGGGAACGGGATTGTAATTACGACATAAGGAACATATCCGATATCATCTGTGAAACGGATATTCCATAACGGTCAACCAACTCGTGATGGCGTCCGTAAAATTTACGAAGTGATGATTTCAACTGCACCAACTATTTTAAAATAACATGCACAATCAGAAGATAGTCTGAAAGGTTATTTCGAATCTCTTGACTTGTTTAGTAAAATTCTAACACGTAAAAGCTGAGGAAGTTGAATGAAAAAAACACGCTAGCGGATACGCTTAGTTCTATAACGATCCGTAGGCAATCTGACAAGAACAGAACTATCAGAGTGGTTATAAAACCTTCTACTACAAATCAATTATTTAAAAGAAACCTTACCTGATACCGTCAAGTTAAGGTAATCCATTGCTAAACCAGTATCAATACTAGAAGCTTCACACACATATTTTCCACTGTTACTATAATGTAGTCTATCAACATACAAAGTGTAAAAACATCCTGTCCTGTTTTGTGTTGAAAAGGTCTTTATTGTAATATCACTGATCATTACCTCTTCGTCCGCTGACAACTGCAAGTAGTTTCCAACAATCCCAAAAAATAGCCAGGTCATCTATTTAAAAATAAAACATATTAATGTTCACTGAACGTTGCAATTTGCAATTTCATATGTGTTTCACTTTGTCGCTGGCAAAAAAAAACAATGCTAACAAAACATTCCTATCGGTAGTGACTAATCTGCAAATGAAAACATGCATCCAATCATTAGGGCAGCGGCTAAAGACATTCTTTCAAATTATCAAATTAATAAACCAAACGCCTCACCTACAATCATTCAGTTATTTTTTTTTTAAACAGCTATATCTAAACGAGATTTTAGGTAGGAATTCCTATCATTTATTAACTGGATAAACCAGAGACTAAAAAACGTATTCTTGGGTCACTGAAATTTCAGGGTCTCGCACTCTTTCCAAAGTAAAGTCTCAATTTTATGTATTTTTGCAAATGTATATTCAACCAGAATATATATCCATATGACACCATACCACGCTTATACTATCCAATTTTCATGTTCGGTAACCTGACATTTGTGTAAAAACCCTAATTTCGCATATATTTTTAAAAAACTGTCTACATTGTTTCAAGTTAATGTTGCGATATCTTTTAGTAAAACTACCTCACACATTACCCAAATAACGCAGTCGTTATATTCCAATGTTCTACGATGACTATATTAAAGCCTGAAAGCCTATTCGATGGAAAACCGTCAACCAATCATTCGGAATTATCTCGGCATTTAGTAAAGCAATACACAGTTAGGAAAAAAACTTAAAATTGACACTGATAATTTTTAACCACCCTCTTTCCCTTGCTTTTTTAACAAATAAGACAAAATGTTTGTGTTAGATATGTGCATATGTATGAAAACAGTATTTTCCATAGATTTGATTTCCAATAGTTAAAATGGTGAAATATAATCTCTTTTTGGTGTAACCATGGCAACAATCTGAATTTAGTTGATACAAAATATTGCAAAAAGGGGGGTAAAATGTCACAAAAGTCCCCAAAATTTGTTTCAAAGTAGAATTTTTAATCCATTAGAATGATACCTTTTCTAAAACCGTTGATATTTATCTATCAATAGGTCAAAAAAAAATCATATGCATTTCACCTCATGTTTCCATAAAATTGAATTGAAAAGTTCGAGCGTCAAATATTTGTTGGAAACCTTACAATAATTTCCACTTTTAATAATTGTCTGTGTTCAGTTAGCTAAAATGAGTAAATTGGTCTACTAGTTTTGAAATTTGGTTCAGTAATAAGTATTTGATGAAGGTTAGCAGTTATCACTAAAATGCAACAAAAAAGTGATTTGAAGAAACATGTCATGTCAAAGTGTAAAATCTATTTTTTTTAATTAAATTTCTTAAACTATTCGTCTTGTTTCTGTATTTTCATGTTTAAAAACTTTTTAAAACCTGAACAGTAGACAAATTGTACAAATAAAAGCTATTTTAAAGCTCTGGAACTTCAATTTTGTTTTGTATTGCATACCAAAGCCTTGGTTAAAATTTGTCAAATACTGAATCAATTTCTAACAGCGGGGACAACTTTAGACTTAATTCATGCCAAAATGTAAAAAGATACCTTGCTAAAAAAACAAATTTGACCGAACCAAGTCTTTGTGTTAAAATATCTGTATTGGTTTCTAAGGACAATAAACAACGAAACTAACATAATTTGCCATCCTAAAAGATTTTTCTCCCTCAGAATTGGATCTATAATCTAAACAGCAATAGATTTGTGGTATGATTTGTCTTAAAATTAGCAACTATGTGCTTTATCAAAAGTCATAAGGTGAATAATTTTATTTTTCAATTTCCACTTTTAACAATTTTTGGTGTTCTGTTGGCTAAAACGAGTAAATTGGTCTACTAGTTTTGAAAATTGGTTCAGTAATAAATATTTGATGAAGGTTAGCAGTTATCACAGAAATGCAACAAAAAAGTGATTTGAAGAAACATGTCATGTCAAAGTGTAAAATCTCATTTGTTTATTAAATTTCTTAAATCTTCTTGTTTCTGTCTTTTCATGTTTAAAAAAACTTAAAATAACCTGTACAGTAGACAAATTGTACAAATTAAAGTTATTTCAAACCTCTAGAATTTCAATTTTGTTCTGTATAGCATACCATGGCCTTGGTTAAAATTTGGCGAATACAGAATCAATTTTAGACTTAATTCATGCCAAAATGAAACAATATACCTTGCTAAAAATATAAATTTGATTTATTCGCATGAAAAAATATAAAGCGTTCCATACTACGGTTGTTACATAAAGCGCATTTTTTTCTGTTACAAGGAGTAGCCAATGGAGTAAGGAATTTATGACCGAACCAAGTCTTTATGTTAAATGTCTATATTGTATGCTAAGGACAAGAAACAACAAAATTAACATATATTGCCATCCTCAAAGATTTTTCTCCCTCAGAATTGGATCCAGAATCTTAACAAAAATTGTGGTATGAATTGGTTAAAATAAGCAACGCTGTGCGTTCTCAAATGCCATAAGGTAGCAATACACAGTTAGGAAAAAAACTTAACATTGACACTGATAATTTTTAACCACCCTCTTTCCCTTGCTTTCTAACAAATAAGGCTAAATGTTTGTGTTATGAATGTGCATATGTATCGAAACAACGTTTTCCATAGATTTGATTTCCAATAGTTAAAATGGTGAAATATAATCTCTTTTTAGTGTAACCATGGCAACAATTTGCATTTATTTGATACAAAATAATGCAAAAAATATTTTGGTCCAAAGTAGAATTTCAATCCATTAGAGAGATACCTTTTCAAAAACCACTGACATTTTTCCATCAATAGGTCAAATAAAAATCATATACAATTCACCTAATTTTTCCATAAAATTGAATTGAAAAGTTTGAGCGTCAACTATTTGTTGGAAAAACACTATAATAACTTCTGGACCTATGGGCGGTACGGATGTGAAAATATGGACTGTCAAACAGAAAATGGAATATAAAACATGCAAAAACAATCTTGGTGTGCATATAAACCCACTTTGAATGCTATATTATTCTTCAGCTATCTAAGAATCAATTTTATTGCACAATAACTTTCATATGTAAACAATTCACCGGGGCCAAAATGCGAAACCAAACTCCTAACTGTGTATTGCTACCTTTACCTTTCAAAATAAGACTGAGCTACCAGTAAAATGCAGGATTCGTGATGCCAAATCATTTTATAAAGAGTTCAGGCCCTCGCAAGTAGGATAGATTTATTACGGTAGGTCAGAATTATTCGGGTTACCTTATACCAAACTTTTACAGAGACAACAGATACAGTTAAGTCTGCCTCATATCTTGATTTACATCTAGAAATTGACAATGAGGGTCGGTTGATAACAAAACTTTACGACAAAAGAGATGATTTCATCTTCCCAATTTCTGAACTTCCCATTTCTATGTAGCAACATTCCAGCAGCACCTGTATACGGAGTATATATCTTCCAGTTAATACGATATTCCAGGGCTTGTATTTCCTATCATGATGTCTTTGGTAGAGGGTTGCTGCTCAACAGGAAACTAGTAAACCAAGAGTTCCAATTAATGAAGTTAAAATCAACTCTTCGTAAATTTTACGGACGCCATCACGAGTTGGTTGACCGTTATGGAATATCCGTTTCACAGATGACAAAGGATATGATCCAACTACAATCCGGTTCCCTTTTCCCCGAATGTGACCTACCGAATTAGACGTATCACCGAGTTTGTACTAACATGAGCAACACGACGGTGCCACATGTAGAACAGGATCTGCTTACCCTTCCGGAGCACCTGAGATCACTCCCAGTGTTTGGTGGGGTTCGTGTTGCTCAGTCTTTAGTTTTCTATGTTGTGTTTTGTGTACTGTTGTTTGTCTGTTTGTCTCTTTCTTTTTTAGCCATGGCGTTGTCAGTATATTTTCGACTTGAGTTTGAATGTCCCTTTGGTATCTTTCGCCTCTCTTTTACGTTAAGTATATTGGTTATGCACTGTTACGACGTTAAGTATGCAGGAAATGAACATTTGCCTCGCCTACGATAGTAGATTTTGGTGTAAGTCAAGTTAATCAATGTCCCAAATAAGACAATACTTTTGGATTTTAATTGATTATATACGTTAAAACAAATCTGAAAATATTACACTGTGCTTTCAATAAATGTTAATTTGAAATCCAGAGTTTATCATTCAGGCGTTTGTTGCTGTATATCATATTTGTTTTTCGTTTATTGTTTTGTTCATAAAGCAGGACGTTCGTTTCCTCGTTTGAATTGTTTAACATTTGTCATATCGGGCCTTTTATAGCTTGCTGTGCAGGTATGGGTTTTGCTCATTGTTGAAGGCCGTACGGTGACCTATAGTTGCATACTTCTATGTCATTTGGTATCTGGTAGAGAGTTGTCTTAATGGCAATCAGACCATGGCCAAATCTTCTTATTTTTATATTATCATTATGAGTTAAACGTTTGATATAGATTATACATGTGGATAAATGCATTCCGAATCAGTAAACCCTTTTTGAACGATGTTTTTTTGCGTTTGCTTTTGTTGTAGTTCAGTGTTTCTGTTGATTGTAAAAAATAGATAGACTCCATTGAAAGGAGTACAAAGAACATCACTGGTAGTGTTCTATAGACGTTCAGACGTTCACTACGTTCAGGATTAAAGAGCAAATTAGCCCACGTCCGCGAAGTCGGTACATTTGATAATATCAACAAATGTATCATGTAGATTTTTATCTTCTGATAAACCATGTACTAGTTACATATAAAAGGAGCGAGAAGATTTCAAAGGACATTTAAAAACAATAAGTCTAAGAATAAAAGACAAAATAAGGATTAAAAAGACAAACAGTAGTACTAAAACATGACAAAGAAAATGAAAGATTGAGCAACTCATAATATTATAATTGTAATAAAAATCGAACCAAATATAATAAAGTCCTACCGTTCGAATGAAAAAAAAACCTTAATTAACATGATTGAATAATATAATGCATATAAATAATTCCAGATTCGGAAATGATCATTTTTTATCTAAATTTG